TCTCTCTCTCTCTCTCTCTCTCTCTCTCTCTCTCTCTCTCTCTCTCTCTCTTTACTCTCTCTCTGTTTGTTGCACTGTGTGCTCAGTAACCCCACTGCAGTTGACACGTATGCATTTCTATATTTGTCTGTTCTTGCTTAGATGACCTAGAAAGAAAGATATGATTTTATTTGCAGGACCAGACACAGGATGAAAGGGATACAACGTCCCTTTAGAAAAAAATATTGTTGTGAAATCAAGCGCTCGTCAAAATGATAAAATCGGAGAAACAGGCATGTTATTGTCAAGTTGGCTTGCACTTTTTATCTAATTTTTGGGTTTTTTGGGCTCAGCCTCTTTTATGTTCACGTAAAAAAAACCCAACACATTTCAATGTGAATATTATTCTGAAGAACGTTGATTAAAGGCACAAATTATGTCATTTTCAAATTTTCAAGGACTGTTTTGCGATTGGAGTTACCAAACTTTGACGGTCGTTTTCTCGCTAATTTCATCATTGAAAACAGACAGCCTTACCCCCTTCAAGCGCAAAAATCTGGACTTCTATTCAAGATTGATGGGTATTTTTTCATTGAAAGCAAAGAAAATAAATATACTTTCTGATTATACAAATAACTCTAAATGCCCCAAAATTGACGAGCGCCTGATTCCACCACGTCCTGACACAAATACTCGGTAAGCATATTCCCCCTTCCTGGAATTGAACTGAAGTCTTTTGCGTGTGACGGATAAAAACGCTTTAAGATTACACAGCTTAGTATTATTATTATTATGTCAGTGTTTTACTCGATAGGCAGAATCAAGTTGTGTATGTTTCTGTGCAACATTTTTAAAAATCCAACCTGTACAACACAAACAAAACTTGCGAAAACAAAATGAAATAAGTTACAAAATCGAGATTTCTCTGAATTACTCCTACATATTCAAAGATTTTTCTTTGACTGGTATCGCATGAAATATAGAGTGACCTCTTTTGTGGACAGAACATGGAGCAAACCGTAAATCAAAATTGTTAATATATTATTACTGGATGTAGGAGATTATACCCAGTTTCTATACTGTTTTTATTTGGTTTTCTTTTACTCACAGAGAGACTGTACGTCAATTAATAAAGTATTAAGGATTATGCAAAAGAAAAAAGTCGTGATATATGGCTAATTACGCCCTGGTGGGGCGAAACGCAGTGGGTTATAAATGCATCAAGGGAAACGTTTTGCTATAACCTATTGATGCAGTGATATATTTATTCCATGCTAATTTGTTTTGTTTTGGTAAGGGCGAGGGATTTTTTTAAGGGGGGGGGGGGTAACGTTGTTGTTGGTTTTTTATGTATTTGTTTTGTTTTAGTTGTGGCGTTACGATTTTTGTTTGTATTCTGATTTTCGCCAGCTGTAAATACGAAGGATTTGTATCAACAGTTGACGTTCTCTCATGACGGTGGGTGGGTGTTCTCAAAATCTGAATACTTTGAACATGAATGGTTTAAATGGAGATTGAGCTACCTACTTTGAGACGTTATTCCCAAAACAAGCACACACCCCCAGCTTCAAGATCTATAATACAACAAACATCAAAACTAAAACAAAACGAAACAAAACAGATTAATAAACTTCAAAGCCGTTCATTATTTTAATATGTAAAGCAGTGGGTGAAATCTGGCACTCGTAAAAATAACCAAAAAGAAGAAAGTGACATTTTTTACACGGTTGTGAATTTTTTTTTTTTATTCGTTTTTTTAGCTCAACACCTTTCATGCTCGTTAAAGAACACATTTCTGGGTAGATTTTACTGAAAAACGTTGATTAAAGGCACAACTAATCTTAATTTTCAATTTTCAATTTTCACAGACTCTCAAGCTAAGGAAATAACTTATCTTTGTCGGCCATTTTCTCATTATTTTTACCTCTTAAACCAGGCGACCTCCACCTCCTTCATTCGCAAATATCTGGATTTCTATTCAAGATAGATGGATTTTTTTTTTATTCAAGCAGGACAATTGAACAAGCTTTATAAGATAATACCAATAACTCTACATGCCCAAAATTTTGACGAGAGCCAGATTCCACCGCGTCGTGACACATATAATTACATGATTTGTGTTTTGATTTCCCTCCACTCCTATTAATACACTTTATTTTATTTTATATAGTTACATCGATACATTTGTGAGACGAACCATAGATAACCATAAAGAGGAAGTAAAAAGCACTATTCTTAAGAGCTCACAAGTCTGCATGTTTCAGGCTGGTTTTAATTTGCGTAAAAAAGGCAAGCTATGAAAATTTGAGACTTAGCTCCTCTCAGTGTGACAGAAAAGAGTCCAATAAGTGCACTCTAGCTGCTATACAAACTGTTACACGGTAAAACGATCTCGTGCAAAGAGAGAAAACATAAAAGAGAGCGTGTGGATCGTGTATCAAGCTATACGTCAAATTGACAATTGCTTCAATGGCCAAAAACACATTTTGAAAACTTTATGCTTCACTTTATTTTATGTTTTAATATTATTTAGCCACTATTATTATTTTCAAAGAGTAGTTTTCTTTCCTTTTTTTGTTTTGTTTGTTTGATTCTTTCTTCTCTGGAAGTTGCGAAAATATCCTACCGTATATCTCTAATGCTTTTTTAATATCTCTAACAAAGCGATCATAGCTGAAAACCAAATCCAGTTATCAACAGAAGAAAGACATTAAGTAATTACCGTGTGTATTCAGTATCCAGTCGAAAATCTGCTGGTAATTCTAAACCAAAATAAACAGTATAAACTTCAGTGACGTTAACGCCTGAAACCGTGCGTAGATCTAATCGAAAGCTGTCGCAGCGGGAAGAAAGATCAGCATCTATCGACATTCGAACTCTGACTGAACGACCCGTTTTCTGCGAGGGCCATGTTTATCCCGAGGTAGGCGAGCGTGGCGTCACGTGTGCGCCTGCGCGTTGAAGGGACGTAAGTGTGATCGACGAGCTGGAAGATGAGGAGGAAGAGAAGGACACGGACGTTGTGGGAAAACTGTTTGGTCGAGCGAGTCTACTGACGCGCGCGCGCACGCACGCCGCTCACATACTCGCGCGCTTTTCGTAGACGTGGGTTGAGCTCGTGAGCTTGTTGTGAGGTGCGGGTGGTGTAATGCCATAGATATGATAAAATACGTTGGTTATGTTAATTTAACGGATGCTCACTACGATAGAGTAATGGGAAAAAAACTCTTCCACGAAAAGATCCTCACAATCATTTAGCTAGAAAGTCAATAAACATTCTGATTTTTGTTTTCATTGTTAACTAATTTCATTACAACCACATTGTTTCAATTGATGAATTCGTTGCTTTATTACTATCATTTTTGGCATAATATAGTAATATTGAAGGCAGAATATTATGTGGTTTGGTTGAATTCTCAAGAGAATAGGATTGGATGCCGCATCACAACTCATTTTTTATCGACTTCTCCTACATCACAATTACACAACATTCGGGTTTAAAGATCCGGTATACCCCACCACAAAGAGACAACTCTTTCAGTACGGGCAGTTGTCGATTCTCGAGGTTTTTGTAACGTTTTATAATATCTCTGGCCCCAACTCCATACACCTTTACTGCTACTCTCGTGTATCCTGCTGTCAGCTGGGGAACATGAGGAGCCACTAAAACTGGTGGATCTGTGGACCGTGATTTATGTGTGCCGCATGAGGCAGGATGAGCAAAGGTTTTAGAGAAGATGTTGCTTTTTCACATTCCTTAGTTTACGGAAATGGAAAAAGGGTGGGTTGGAAAAAAAGTTGGGAAAACAAAACAAAACAGACCAAAAAAAAAACAAAAAAATAAAAACCACCCACCAAAAATAAAACCTCAAAACAAAACAAAACAGACCAAAAAAAAAACAAAAAAATAAAAACAAAAATAAAACAAGAAAGATGAGAAAACAAGAAAAAGAGGGGGCGGAGGGGGGGGGGGGTTCAGTACAAAGGGTGTGCTATAGAAACATTTCATTAAAGAGGGAAAGGAAAAGTGTAGTGAAAATGTTTTCTGAGGTAAAAAGAACATAAAACAGTATGAGTGAATAACTATGTTTTCACAAGGAATTGAGTGATAAAAAGGGGAGGGCAAATAGAGGGATGAAGAGGATGGGAAGGGGAAGAAGAGGGAGGGGGGAGAAGAGCTGTATATAGCCTTACTGTTTCCCTTTTCTGTAGTGTTTCCTCTCCATTTTCTTTTTTGTTGTTACTTCACACACACCACTGCTGCCCCCAACCCCCCAGGGCAGTGCCACTGACAAGGTGTCTTTAGGCCATTCCCAAATGGGGGATATTTAGCATGTTCTTATTCCAAGTAGAATTTTAAATGGGCTGACTTATCAATGTCATATTCATACTGTGCCGGGACAACATAAGGCTTTTTCTTTCCTCGTCCTTACTATAGTCAGTTTACCTCTACCTTTTTGTACGTTTGCCACTCTCTTGTGAACTGCTATTTCCGGGGTGCCTTGATAGTCGAAACAGACTTTGTGCTGTTGAGGCTAGAAAAGTGAGCAGAGTAAGACGGTTTCCCTGTTTGGACTTCTCTGTTAACATCTATCCCTTGGCGCTCATATGACCTTATGCAGTTGCGAGCGCCGTAAAACTTTACTTAAACAAACAAAATACAAACCCCAAACAAAAAAGTTATTGATTTTCCCAGCTCAATTTTACAAACTTTCTGCAGTCATAAAATGAGATGTTGAATATGTGAATACGACGGAATCAGTCACTCCTCGAACAATTCAGTTGTTGGTTTCATCTTAAACCTTAATCAGTTGTCTTGCTTCTGCTCGTAAAATACACATCTTGAGAATAAAATGACAATGACAGTGACAATAATAGCCTTTATTCATCACGTAAGGAGAAATTTCTCTTTGTCGTTTACAATGGCAGTAAATGTTACAAAATGGTGCGCTCACGCATACGCACAAGGCACAACAAGACAGGACGTTAGTAAATACATGTCTCACGTGCTGAAACAAAACCTTTTGTAAAACGTTCTCTCTCTCTCTCTCTCTCTCTCTCTCTCTCTCTCTCTC